CCTGGAACTGACTGGAATACCTAAAAAGGGGTTACAATATGTCCAGTATAGGGATGGGCAACTTGAACATTGGCTACCCAAAATGGGGGGAGGGATACAAAGGTAAGAAATGACTGGCTTACAAGCTTTCAAGAGGGAACCTGGATCGACAGGGCGGGGAGGAGGGTGGAGTCTCAAGTGAGTAAGTAATATCCAACCTGCCTAGAAAGAGCTGATGAAAAAAATGTGGATGGGTCTCCTGTGATGCAGGGGTGAATAATTGTTATCAGGATGGATTGTGAGGACTCGAAAGGTAAAGGTGGATATTTTATAGCAAGGAGGGATGTGATTAACCTTTTAGTCTAGGAGCGAAGGCTCCTGGAACCATCACTGGAGAAGAACAGAGATCGGGACCCCACCCAGAGAAGCAGCGAGGCCTGAGATGGAGACAGAAAGGATGACATGAAGAGATGGAATGGCTGAGGATTTGAGATCCAGGGAGGGAAAGGAGCTGTGTGCTGAGGACCGTGGGGGGAGAGGAGGGGCCTGTGGGGTATAACCTTTGGTTGGGGGATGATGCTTGGACGGGATTGTAACTATGGCAATGAAACGATGCATGATAGAATGAGTGTAAAGCTAATGTTCCCCCATGTAAACTATCACACAATAAAAGAAAGAAAGAAAAAAAAAAAAGTATTAGGGAGTTTTCCATCCTCTTCTATGTCCTGGAATAATTTGAGTAGAATTGGTGACAGTTCTCTGAATGTTTGGTAGAACTCACCCGTGAAGCCATCTGGGCCAGAGCTTTTGTTGGTTGGAAGTTTTTTGATGACCTGATCAATTTCTTCTTTTGTTATGGGTTTGTTCAAGTTTTCTACTTCATTCTGAGTGAGTTTAGGTAGGTCGTGTTTTTCTAGAACTATATCTTATCTCATGTAAGTTTTAGAATTTGTTGGAGTACAGCTCTTCATAGTATTCTGTTATTATTCTTTTGATTTCATTTGGTTCTATTGTGACTTCACTCATGTGGTTTCTAATGCGGTTTGTGTCCTCTCCCTCTTTTCTTTAGTTAGTTTTGCCAATTTTATTAATCCTTTCAAAGAACCAGCTTCTTGTCCTGTTGATTCTTTCTGTAGTTTTTCACTTTTCCATCTCATTTATTTCTGCTCTTTATTATTTCCTTTCTTTTGATAACTGTAGGTTCCCTCTGCTTGTCTGCTTTAATTGTTGAAGATGCTGTGTTAATGTATTGATTTTGGTTCTTTCCTCTTTTTGGATGTGTGCATTTATCACAATAAATTGTCCTCTCAGGATTGCTTTCGCCGTGTCCCAAAGATTTTGCTATGTTGTGTTTTCATTCTCGTTTGTTTCTAGGAACTTTGTAAATTCACATTTAATTTCTTCTTTTACCCAGTTGCTTTTCAGCAGGGTGTTGTTCAGTTTCCATGTATTCGATTTTGTTGCTTTGGTCTTCTTATTGTTGATTTCTAGTTTTATAGCATTGTGATCTGAGAAGATGCTCTGTAGAATTTTGATGCTTGTAAATTTATGGAGGCTTGCTTTGTGACCTAACACATGGTCAATTCAGGAAAATGTTCCATGTGTACTGGAGAATAATGTGTATTGTGCTGTTGTTGCATAGAATGCTCTGTACACATCTATGAGGTCAAGTTGGTTGATTGTGCTGTTTAGTTCCTCTGTAGCTTTGTCGAGTTTCTTTCTGGTTGTTCTGTCCCTTTTCGAGAGTGGTGTGTTAAAGTCTCCCACTATAATTGTAGATTTATCTATTTCTTTCTTCAATTCCATTAAGGTTTGCTTCATATATCTTGATGCTCTTTCATTGGGAGCGTATATGTTTATTATGGTTATGTCATCTTGTTCAATTGACCCTTCAATCATTAGATAGTTTCCTTCTTTGTCTCTTATGCTGGTTTTTATATTAAAGTTTTCTTTGTCGGAGATTGGTATTGCCACTCATTTTTGTTTATTGTGGCAGTTAGCTTGGTGAATTTTTTTCCATCCTTTAACTTTTAATCTGTTTTTGTCTTTGTGTGTAAGGTGTGTCTCTTGCAGGCAGCATATTGATGGGTCTTGTGTTCTTATCCATTCTGTCACTCTCTGTCTCTTCACTGGTGCATTCAATCCATTGACATTCAATGTAATTATTGATAAGTATGTATTGATTGCTGTCATTATGTTACTTTTTTGGTGGTGCTGTTCCTTCTTTTGTTCTGCATTCCTTCTTGTGTTGGGTTTGTGTTTTTTATGCTATTTCTTGTCAGTTTCTTCTAAGTTTCCATGTTAGCTTGTTCTGCTTGGGCATTCATTTTTATGATATGTTGTGAAGTTTTAGCTTTCTTTGGGGTTACCTTGTAGTCTACTGACTTTTCTCTGCATTTAAGATACTCCATTGTAACCTGTAATTTACCTGGCATCCTCACCACCTGGGTCTCTTTTGCTATGTTTGTCCCTTCTTTGACACTGATATTCTTTTGGTCTTCAGTTGATCTCCCAGCTTCTTTGAGTTTGTTGTTGTAGTCTTGTTCTGTTCTAGGCTCTGCTATCTGATGACTGAGTTCCAGGTGGTGGTGCCACGCCTGTCAGTCTCTGTTGTCTGTTATTGTTGGTTTTCAGTCCACAGAACTCCCTTTAGGATGTTTTGAAGTGCTGGGTTGGTTTTGATAAAATCTCTCAGGTTCTGTTTATCCTGGAATATTTTGATTGCACCATTGTATTTGATTGATACTTTTGCTGGATAGACGATTCTTGGTTGACAGTTTTTTTCTTGCAGGGCTTTGTATATGTCTCCTCATTGCCTTCTTGCCTGCATGGTTTGTTCTGAATAGTCAGAGCTTACTCTAATTTGCTTGCCTTTATAAGTGATATTTTTCTTCTCCCTTGCTGCTTTTAGTATTCTTTCCTTGTCTTTGATTTTGGAGAGCTTGATTATTATATGTCTTGGATACTTTCTTTTGGGGTCTATCCTTCCTGGGGTACATTTGGCTTCTTGAATGTTTATCTTCCCATCTTTCAAGATGTTAGGGAAATTTTCTTCCAGAAGCGCTTCAGCTGTCTCCTTTGTGGACTTCTCTGATTCTTCTTGTTCCAGAATGCCAATAATTCTAACATTATTCCTCTTCATGTTATCCAGCATGAATCTTAGACTCTCTTCAGATTGTTTTATCCTTTTAGCTGCATGCTCTTGTACCTTGACAGTATTGAGAGACTTATCTTCCAGCTCGCAAGTTCTGGCGTCCATCTCTTCTAATCTGCTCCTTTCCCCTTTCAGCATATTGTGCATTTCTGATATCTTATTATTGATCATCTGAACATCTTTTTGCAGGTTTTAAATTGTTTCCAATGCTGTGCCAATCTTATTTGATCGCTCCTGTAGTACTTTCCTGACTTCTTCCTTGTTTTCCTCCACCCCTTTTTGGAGCATTTGAATTTGTTTCCGTATCATTCTTCTGAATTCTCTCTCAGGCATATCCAGAACCTGCTCTTCCTCCTCAATAAAGCCTTTGTCTGTCTCCAACTCATTTGCATCAGCTAATCTCTTCTGTTTTTGGATGTGTTTCCATAAGGTTTGTTGCTTCTTCTTTGTCATGATTATTATTTTTGTTATTATTATTAATATGATCAGGAGATACACTTCCCTTATCACCTGAATGTGTAGCAGGTGTTGCTGCGTCTTGTCTCAGTGGTGGAATATTATGGGGTATGCTTATAATTTGGCTATATGGCCATGATTGCTGCCTTTTCTTAGATGACGTAGGGAGGAAAAGCTCCCACCTCCAGAAAAGATATGTGATTAAAAGGACCCAAAGCATAAGTAATATGAACGCATAGACAAAAATCACCACTTTGGAACAGAAATGACGCTGTGGTCAACTGTCTCATGCTACACAGTCAGTGTGTGTGCAATTAGAAGCCTCCAGGAGGGGGTGGGGGTGACCCCTCTCTCAGGCCCCTCCTCTAGTCGTTACCATATAGGTGTGCAGGTAAATATTGACGAGTTAATGGGAGAAAGATTGTCCACTATTTTTGTCTCTGAAGGTCTGTTAGTTAGCTGCATGTGCTCAGCGCAAATTTCAGGATAGTTGAATCCTGTTATGCTGTGGTTTTACAGATTGCTTTGTGTTGATCATACACAGGGAGATCTGGCAGCACATCGGCTGTGGATTGCAAGAACAATAGCTGGAAATTCTAAGCTGCTACCTGGGAGAAAGGCGAGGTGCCCGCCCCGGCTCAGACACACAGTTTCAGATTTTGGGCCCGCGGGTGATGTCATAAGTCGCCGCCAAGCTCCCTTTCTCTGTACCATGAAATGTCTGGGCTGAGAAATGAAGTTGGGACAGGAAGAGAGAGAGGGAGAAATGTGTAGTTTCCCGCTGCTCTTTCTCTCTCTATTTTTTTTTTTTTTTTTTTTTGCTGAAAGCACCGCTTTCTGACCTGGGTTGGCTTTAGCCCTGCCCTCTAAACTCTGCCAGGGTGGGGTGGGTAGTTGCCGAGGCAGTCTAGTCTCCAGATTCCTAAACCGCCCGTATTTTCCTTAATATTGTGAGTTTTTCACTTGTGAGTGTGGAAAACTGATGTCCAGGATCTTATGGTAGATTCGGAGCTCTGAAGTTGTTCTATGAGCGCTTCCTTCATGAGATCCCCCTCCCTTCTCACCAGAGCGTACCTTACCTGGTATTAGGCGTCTGTATCCCCAACAGGAAGTTATAATTGTCTTTCTTAGTGACAACCTTCTCTGGTTTTGGTATGAGGGTTATGCTTGCTTCATAAAATATATTAGGAAATTTTCCATCCTCCTCTGTCTTCTGGATTAATTTGAGTAGAATTGGTGACAGGTCTTCCCTGACTGTTTGGTAGAACTCACCATTGATGCCATCTGGGCCTGGACTTCTTTTGGTTGGGAGTTTTTTGATGACCTGATGAATTTCTTCTTTTTTTATGGGTCAGGTTGTTGACATTTTTCAGTGTCAAGTCTATCTAGCCTTGAACACGATATGTTTTTCTATTTATGTAGATCTCTTTTGATTTCTTGCAGTAATGTTTTGTACTTTTCTTTGTATAAGTCTTTCATGTCCTTGTTGTCGTTGTCATTGTTGTTGTTAAGTACCGTGGAGTCAGTTCCAACTCATAGTGACCCTGCACAGGGTTTCTGAGACTGTAAATCTTTACGGGAGCAAAACGCCTCATCTTTCTCCCACAGAACCGCTGGTAGTTTCGAACTGCTGATCTTTCAGTTTGCAGCCTGGTTTGTAAGATTTATTCCTAGGTATCTTATCTTTCAGAGGGCTATTGTAAATGGTTTTATCTTGCCGTGGTGGTTTAATATTATTTAACATAGATCTCTTTTGGGTACAGCATTAACCATGGGTTTTCACTTTGGGTACAACATTAACCATGGGTTTCATGCAGACCATCACAGGTAGCTGGGACCTACCTTGTGACTAAGGACATATGCAGCCTGTTCACCTGAAGGCTTTCTCTCTTGTCAGATGCTGGACAACACACTGCATCCCAGCCATTGATGGGAAGTTGAGACAGACATCTCCCCTTGGAGATGGGGCCACCACTGCCTTAGTTCACTGCAGGCAGGCAACTTCAAGCATTTGCAACTTCTGGGCTGGAATAAGCGCCATACCTGGTTGGGGATAGGTGGGAGACCCAAGGTCAGATAGTAAAGGGTAGGACCCAAACCCAGTCTTCTTATTTCAAACCATCATCTCATTTCATTCCCTATACTGCAAGGTGAGAAGCTGACCCTTCTTTATTTCAGATCCCTGTGCCTGGCATGGGGCTTTGTCCATGGATCTTGCTGTAGTTCAGTTTCTCAGACACAGAACTATTGACATTTGGACTAGATAATTCTTTGTTGTGAAATAGTTCTTCTGAATTGTAGAATGTTTAGCATAATCCCTAGCCTCTATCCATCAGGTACTAGTCTTATCCCACCATACATGACAATCAAACATACCTCCAGATATTGCCAGATGTCCCCTGGAAGCAAATTTGCCCTCTGAGAATCACAACTCTTACTTGAATTTAGCAGTCATCTCTGTTGACAGTTGTTTTTTATATTTGTCCTCAGCTTTCCGCTTGGCCCTCATCCAGCTTCAAGTTTCTTCCATCAAATCAGATAACCTCACACGAGCTTGTAGCCTTGTCCGTGAGGCAGCAGCGAAAGGAGCCAAAATTGTGTCACTACCAGTAAGTATAGTGGAAGCCCTCCCTTTGAGAACTGTAGACCTAGCAGTAAGTAGTATTTGCTATTCCTTTGTGTCCCAGGATCCAGCAAGGCCCCATGGGGCCCCAGGATTTCCCCCCATTGCCTAGATTATGATCCTAACAAAGATCTTTGTGGCAGGATATACTTATATGAGGGGGCTTCACAATGTTCCTGGAAAAATAGAATTGAAAGATAATGGAGTTTTTCCACAAACCTTTTGAAGCCCCCTCATGTGATTATAGGTTTTTAAATTTAAGATAATTTATTCTGTTCAGAAGACTCCTGGTGTGATGTTGTAGGACAAGTACTGGACTGTAAACTAAAAGGTCATCAGTTCAAGCCCACCAGCTGCTCCTCAGAAACCCTATACAGTGTCACTATGAGTCGGAACTGACTCAACAGCACTTAATAACAACAACAATTTTGTTTAGAGGAGGAAGCCAAAATCCTAATAAGTAGAGGAACTTACATAAAGCTAAAATATTTAGTACTGTGGATACTTACCTTTGTTCCTTATGTAGCTAAGTCTTTACAGGACCTGGGCATATAGGTTTCAACACTAAGACTTCAACATTTAAAAAGAATGAAAATGATGAGAAACATTTAAGGAGCCTGTGGCATCTTAAAACTAGTAGTACTCTGTGTCTCTTCCGAGGTAATTTTTTTTATAACCATCTGAAGGGTGACTGCATTTGTTTGTCTAGGCTTAGCCCTAGAAGGGGGGTCACCGCAGATAATCAGCACATGCCTAGACAGACTTCTTCTCCAAAGACCAGATAATCATCAGTGGCTAGAATTATTAAAGATAGCTTCCCTCCCCCTCTCTCCACTGTGGGGAGGAGGCAGCCCTTTGCAAGTCCTGTCTAAACTGACTGGAAATTTTTCAGGGCCACCTCATATTTTATTTAGACCCTGATCCATTCACAGATGTGGCCATTGAGCAGAAATCTTCACCAAGGGAGCTGGATGTTTTATTGTTAAGCCAGTCTTTCTCAAGTCTTTCTCATGGCTCCTGATCATGGTCTTTTGTAGGTTCTTTATATTGCCAAGGTCAGAATGAAAAATCCAGGAGTCAGAGCACTTGAATTCTGCACTTACCCACCTCACGGGATATCTAACATGTGTCTTGTACAACCAGCAATCCCTGGGCTTTTTTCTTGACGCAGTGCTTGGTATGCAAGAGATCTCAATAAATGTAGAATGGATAAATGAGAGTCTTAAGTGTAGTATTTTTGCCTTCTGTTTTCTGAAATAATCTAATTGTTAATCAGTTATACCTGGGTGGAATGAAAGACTTGATAGGATCACAATGATAATGCTGGAGGTGAATTTAGAAATGACTCATTTTAAAGATGAGGATATGTCTTAACTTATGTGGTTTTCAAAGGTCATGCATTTTTTTCTAAACCAAACTTTACTGCTTTACTTACATAGTTGATAATGATAATTTTGAACATAAGAATTCATCCTCACACCCAAAGTCATAGGGGAATGAGCCCAGTTATAGTAGGTCCTAGTTTATTGATACTTAATTTGTTACTATGTAACAGAAATACCATAAGTGGGTGACTTCAATAAAAATTTATTTTTTCGGAGTATGGTGGTGTTGGTTATATGTCGTGGAGTTGGTTCCGACTCATAGCGAACCTGCACAGAGTTTCCGAGGCTGTAAATCTTTACAGGAGCAGAAAACCTCACCTTTCTCCTGCGGAACAGCTGGTGGTTTCAAACTGCTGACCTTGTGGTTCGCAGCCACTACACTACCAGAGCTCCTTTTTCCGAGTATGCTGTTGTTGTTATGTGCCATGGAGCTGATTCCAACTCATAGCGACCCTGTACAGGGTTTCTGAGGCTGTAACTCTTTATGGGAGCAAAAAGCCCCATCTTTCTCCCGCGAAACAGCTGGTAGTTTCGAACTGCTGACCTTGAGGCTCGCAGCCTGATTCATAACCACTATGCTACCAGAGATTTCTAGGAAACTAGAAATCTAATTTTGCACATCACCTCTAGAGGGAGACTCTGTTTACTGTCAGGAAAAATCCTGTGTCATCTTCACTAGCTTCCTTCTTAGTTATCCTTGGAAATCTCCATCTGACAACTGTCTTTCCCCCATGAAAGTTTACTTGTTTCTGTACTTGATTTGCTTGTTTTATATTTCAAAAGTAGTTTAAGACATACTGTACAATGATACAGCCTTACCAACAGAACAAAGAAAATCCATTTCCAAATAGGATTATATCCACAGGAATAGGGGGCTTCATATTTACAGCACAAACTTTGGTTGACACAAATCAGTGCATAATATCATAGCTAACCAAGATTAAAAACTAGCTGTTCTGGTATCAGCACATCTGATGTCTGACAACTGACCATGATCAGGTAGAGAACCCATGACTTCTCTCTTTAAATTTTACCTCAGCCAGTTGTTGAGTTCGGCCTGTGGCCTGAGGCGTCGTCATTCTTCTTCTTAGTTGTATTTTTCTTCTTTAAGTGAGAGGAGAACTAAAAGAAGCAGCAGAATATTAAAATGGTTTTAGCATTTTGGCACACTCCCCCTTCTTTTTTCTGTCAATGTTATTTTAGGAATGTTTTAATTCTCCGTATGGCACGAAATATTTTCCTGAGTATGCAGAGAAAATTCCTGGTGAATCCACACAGAAGCTTTCTGAAGTAGCAAAGGAATGCAGCATATATCTCATTGGAGGTAACTTCCCACTTGCAAGGTATAATGGCTAAATATTAAAAACATCAGAATACACTTTCTTGTTATATTTAAACCGGAGAATACGCTTCAACCATTTAAAAGAATGAGGTAGATCTATTTACAGTAATGTGGAAAGATTTGCAAAACCTGTTGTTATAAAATGGAAAAAAAAACCGGTGAGTTCAGTGTGATGTGTGCAAGATATGCCCATTCAGATTAACCCCACATAAAAAAGGAGCACTATATATTTTGATATGTGGGTATGTATGTAAGGCGGAGCCTTGATGACGCAGTGGTTATTCATTGCTGCTAACTGAAAGATTGGTGTTTGAATTCACCAGCCACTCCACAGGAGATAGGTGCAGCAGTCTGCTTCCATAAAAAGATTTGCAGCTCTGGAAACCCTATAGGGTAGTTCTGCTTTGCCCAGTAGGGTTGCTATGAGTCAGACTCAACTAACTGGTAATGGGTTTGTTTTTCTTTATGTATGTAAAGGCATAGTAAATGCTTTAGGAGGACATACACCAAACTGATAGTGATGATTTTCCATACAGGTGTCAATATAATTTTTGCTGTAGTAGTAGTAGAAATGTGGAAAGAGAAATCACGTCTGAATGCCTTCCATTATAGTAATAGAAGATTGGATTTTTTTTTTCCTCTAAAAGGCCATGTTCCTAAAGGTAGCTTTATTTATGTGATTTTGAAATAAATTTCTTAGTGTTCTCCTTGCTTAACTATATAGCACAGTAAAAATCTGTTCAGTAAATATAGGAAGCAAAATTATTTCTGTATTGTGATACATTGTTGTTTTTAAGTGCCGTTGACTTGGTTCTGACCCATAGTAACCCTCTATAGGGTTTCCAAGGAGCGACTTGGTGAACTTGATCCGCTGACCTTGTGGTTCAAACCAACTTTGCAGTCCAGCGCATTAACCCATAGCCCCACACCAGGACGCCTGTGTTATTTTAGGGATTAGAAATCGTTCAAATAAACAAAACCAATTACTCTCAATTCATTTTCGACTCATGGTGACTCTGTATGTGAAGTAGAGCTATTCTCCATAGGATTTTCAGTGGCTGAGTTTTCAGAAGTAGACCACTTGGCTGTTCTTCCAAGGTACCTCTGGATGGACTTGAACTTCCAACATTTTGGTTAGCAACGTAACACCTTAACCGTGTGTACCATCCAGCAGAGAGAAATGCAGAAACCACATTCAGAGATGGAGAGGTTTACGGCTTAATCCTTATCTTAAGGTCTTTTTGGACCTGGTAAATCTAATTTGATCAACAGGAAATTCCCCCATTTTGTTCTAGAGTTACAGATTATTGCTGAGGAGCAAGACTGAATTTCAAGAACTGTTTGGTTATTTTTTAAATCCATCTTTGCATAGATTTAATCATATTTTGGCTGTACTCTGGAGTATATCTCTGAAAGGTTAGGTTTAAGAAGGGAAAAAATAACCCATGATTAAATAACTCTTTAAAGATAATAAACTTTATTGTTGCACCCACGTGACAATTTATCAAGCTTTTATCAAGAAATCACAGTAGAATTGCTTCATTTAGAATGCTTTGTGTGCTTATATGTTTCTCCTGTCAATGAAAGGTTCCATTCCTGAAGCAGATGCTGGGAAATTATATAACACATGTCCAGTGTTTGGGCCTGATGGAAATTTACTGGTGAAGCACAGAAAGGTAAGTTGGGAATTTGGCAAGTCTTACTACCTCTAGAGAATTTGCCCTGAAGTCTCTTAGACCCTCTCATCATACTATACATACTCACTGCAAGCATTTAGTTGATTGGCAGAGGGGCCTAGTCTTGTTTGTTAATGTAAATATATAAATTTTAGACTTTTCCTCTGCAAAGAAAAAACCTACAGGAATTTTGAGTAGAGTGCATTTGAACACTTGTAAGTTGATTTGGCTAGAGTTGCCACCTTTGTAGTATTAAATGCATATTCATTTAAGATTGTTAGGTCTTCCTGGTGAATTGATCCTTACATCCTTAGGGGATATATCTTTTTTTATTTCTTCTAAGACATTTTTCCTTGAAGTCTCCTTTATATTTGATACTACTATAGCTGCTCCAGTCTTCTTATACTTACTGTTTGATGATTGTTGTTGTTAGGTACTGCTGAGTGGGGTCAGCCTCATAGTGACCCTATGCACAACAGAACAAAACACTGCCCCATTATTCACCATCCTCGAAATTGTTGTCACACGAGTCCATTGCTGATCCCACTGTGCTAATCCATCTCATTGGGGTCTTCCTCTCTTTCGCTGATCCTCCACTTTTCCAAGCATGATGTCCTTCTCAGGGAATTGTTTCTTCTGATAATTTGTCCAAAGTATAAGAGATGAGTATCTGCTTTTGAGGCTTCTAAGGATCCTTCTGACTGTACTACTTTCCAAGACAGATTAGTTTGTTTTTCTGGTAGGTACTTTCAATATCTCCAACACCAAAATCAAATGCACCAGTTCTTATACAGTGTGCCTTATTCATTGTCCAGCTTTCACATGCTTATGAGACCATTGAAAATGCCATGGCTTAGGTCAGGCACACCTTAGTCCTCAAACTGACATCTTTGCTCTTGAACACTTTACAGAAGTCTTATGTTGCAGATTTGCCAAATGCAATAATACATTATTTGATTTCTTGCCTGCTGCTTCCATTGGTGTTGATAGTGGATCCAAGCAAAATGAAATCTTTGACAATTTCAATCTTTTCTACATTTATCATGATGCTATTTATTGATCCAGGTGTGAGATACTCTGTTTTCTTTACATTGAGGTGCAACCCATACTCAAATCTTTCATTTTGATCAGTAAGTATTCTAAGTCCTCTACATTTTCATCTTCATATCACAGGTTGTTAATGAATTATCTTCATATCACAGGTTGTTAATGAATTATCCTCCAGTCCTGATGCCGTGTTATTCATATAATTCATCTTGTATTATTTGCTCAGAATACAGATTGAGTAAAATACAAATCGCTCAGAATACAGATTGATATAGTGAAAGAATACAACTCTAGACACACCTTTCCTGATAATTCTTTTTTTGGGGGCATGGTACATCTTTTTATAATCTTTTGTTTTCAACCTCTTTGCATCTTTGTATTTAAAATATTTTTTGTTGTTGACAATATATTAATTCAGGCCATGTCTGTCTTTTAGTTGCAATGGCTAGTTCTTTTATATTTAATGTAATTGTTGGTAATTTATCTGTTAGCTGTTTTATCTTATCCTTTTGCATGATTCTTTTGTTACTCTGTTATTGTTCTTGTTGGTAAGTGCCATCGAGTCACAGTTCCAACTCATAGCAACCCTGCATAGAGTTTCTGAGGAGTGGCTGGTGAGTTTGAACCACCAACCTTGCAGTTTAAATTAACCTTGTGACTGAATCCTACAGTGCCATACCAGGAATCCACTGTTACCCTGGGGATTATACTATACATGTTTAACTTGTTACAGTCTCTGTAGAACAAATATTGTACCACTTCATATAAAATGTAAAAACCTTGCAATTGTATAGGCTCATTTTCTGTATTCCTGTTCTGTATGCTTTAGATGTTGGTGTGGTGCTGTAAGATAAGGACTGGACTGCTAACCAACCACAAGGTCAACAGTACAAACTCACCAGCTTCTCCTCAGAAACCCTGTACAGGATTACTATGAGTCGGAACTGACTTGATGGCACTTACCAACAACAGCAACAATCTAGTTGTCTTGCATAGTGTAGTTACATATATCATAAATTCCACAAAACAATTTTTTATTTAAGTAGCCATATATATTTTAAGGAGTCCTGGTACTATAGGAAAAGCACTTGACCACAAGGTCTGTTTGAACCATAAGACTAGTGGTTCACATTCACCAGCTGCTCCTTGGAAACCCTAGACAGGGTCGCTATGAGTCAGAATCAACTCAGTGGCACTTAACGACAACAAATAATATATTTTAAATAAATTAAGTGGATAAAATTGTCTTTTATAATAACCCAAATATTGATCATTTCTGATGATTTTTCTTCCTGAAGATCCTAGTTCCTATCTCTTCAGACAGAAGGACTTCTTTTGCATTTCTTATAATGATTAGCTAGCTATGAATTCTTTTCCATTTTTATTTATGAATATATATACTGCCTTCACTTTTTTTATTGTTTCTTTTCTTTTTACAGTTAATTTATTAGAATGTCTGCAAAATTATGCGGAAGAAGAACATTAATGGTTAACATAATTTCAAGGAGATTACTGCATTTCAAGGAGATTTCTTACAATTTTAAAAGATTATCTGTTTATCCATGTGATAGTAACTTTAGAGGGAAGTTATTCAAGTGAGAATGGTTCTAAAGAGAAGAAAGACCTCTTTAGAATATGTCCTCCTGACAAAGTTATCAGCCAAACATTGCCTTCATTCTTTTTTCTTTTTAGCATCCACAGGTGGGAACTTTAATTAATTGAATACTGTTAAAGGACAATATAACCCCCCAAACACATACACATAATAGATAAGAAATGATCACTTGATGTCCAGAGAGACTGGCTGTATGTCTAGGGCATGCTGGGACCTTCCCTGAGAACATCTTCGGTGGGGTTTGGAAGAGGATGCCCCATGTGGGAGGGGCTCAGGATTTAAGGGGGATGACCGGCCAGTACTTGGGCCGCTTGCAATCGCAATGCTTGTTAATTCAGCTGCACTGTGGCCTCCATGGCCTGGAGTTTTGGTAGTGTTGTCCCCATACAGGTGCTTCATCTTGGTCAGGCGCCTCTCATTGGGCCTCTCAGATGGAGCCTCTGCTGGCCGGTGGGCGTTGTAGTACAGGTCGTGGTCAGCATTCATATAGTCACCCAGGCGCTCAGTGTCTAGCTGCTGCTGCCACCGTCGTTCCTCTTTGTGCCTCTCAGTCTCCGCAAAGTATTTGCGCAGCTCCTCAGAGATCTCCATGTTGCTCAAGTCGCATTCGATTCCCCCATCTGACTCACTCTTTGTCTCCTCCTCTGATAATGACAAAGCTTGCTCTTCTCCAGTGGATGACTGGCCCCAAGAGCTGGCAGGTGAAGACTGCCCAGATCCTCTAGAACGGGGGTGGTGCTGAGGGCTGGTCGTAGAAGGACTGAGGGTACTCACCTTGGTTAGCATAACTGCTATAGGGAAGAACCGGAGTGGGGAGGTACCACAGGGAATTGACATAGGTTTCCATAGCCCACCTGTAGGCCTCGTGGTCTCTTTGCGTCCAAGCCATTGCCTGATGATAATGCTGCCAGTATCTTGCATAGGCCGGATGGTGTAACACCAAGCATTAGCGTCTTTCGAAGATGATGCCTTTGCTGCCATCTTTAATGGTGAAAATTCCAACAGGCACCCGAATTTTTTGTTTTTTTCTGCCCACTGGTTCAGTTACTAAACTCAAGCTTATACCAGCATGTACCTCATTGATGCGCAGCATGTAGATTTTGGGATGTAGGCTAGCTGGAACTGTTTTTCGGTGGGGAAACGGAGGGGGTGGGAGGAAGTGGAGGCGGTTGCCGGGGCGGCTCAAAGTGCACTTGCATTGCCTTCATTCTTGAAAGATCTTTTTATAGATGCAGAATTCTGTGATGTTAATTTTCATTTTTTCCCCAGCAGTTTTAAGGACATTCAGTTGTCTTCTAGCCTTTTTTTTTTTTTTTTCCTTCTAAGAAGCCAGTGGCAATTTATATTGTCAATCATCTTTATGTAATTTGTTATTTTTCTATGCTTGCTTTCAAAATTTTGTCATTATCTTTGATTCTAAGTATTTTGTCTCTGATACACCTATGTGATGGTGTGGCGTAATGCGCTGAACTGCAAAGTCAGCGGTTCAAGCTCACCAGTCGCTCCTCAGAAACCCTATGGGTCGGCATTGACTCAACAGCACTTAACAGCCACAACAACAAATACTTATGTATGACTTTATTTGAAGTCATCCTGCTTGTATTTGTAAATCCACATCTTTTATTCACATTTGGGTAGTTTTTGGACTTTAGTTTGCTAAATATTTTTTTGTTCCATTCTCTCTTCTTATGGGACTATAATGTTGTTGCTGTTATGTGCCGTGGAGTCAGTTCCGACTCATAGCGACCCTGTACAGGGTTTCCAAGGCTGTAAATCTTTACGGGAGCAGAAAGCCTCATCTTTGTCCTGTGGAACAGCTGGTAGTTTCGAACTGTTGACCTTGCAGTTCACAGCCACTACACTACCAGAGATCTTGCGTGTTAACACTATTTTGTATAGTTCTGCATATCTCCAAGGCTCTGTTGATATATTTTTCTTTTTCTATTAATTTTTCTGTGTGTTCTTCATGTTAATTTATCTTCAAAATAACTGCTTCTTTAATTATACCCAATTTCCTGTAAGCCAAAACTAAACAAAAAACCCATTGCCATTTAGCTGATTCTGATTTATAGAGGTGATAAATCGTAGTAGAAGTAGACTGCCACTACTTTCTCCTTCAGAGTGGCTTGTGGGTTCAAACTTCTGACCTTTTGGCTAGTGGTCAGTCACTTAACCTACTGCACCACAGGACTGTGAAATTTTTCTAAAATTTTCTTTTGATTATTTAAAAAAAAAAAATTTGAACTTCCTGTGGAGATTTTCGGAGTCCTGGTTTGGCGCTGTGGATTAATGCGTTAGACTGCAAAGCCATTTGAACTGCAAGATCGGTGGTTCAAGTTCACCAGCTGCTCCTTGTAAACCCTATACAGAGTTACTATGGGTCGGAATCGACTCAACGGCAATTAACAACAACAACAAAGGAGATTTTCAATTTTATTCATTAGGAGCTGCTGTTTTTTTGCACACGACCTTCATCTCAATGGCTACATTAAATTCTGTCACATGGGTCATGTTGAAGTCTGTCTCCATTGATTGCCTCTTTTTTGGAGTAGTGGTGGAGAGAGTCACGTTTTCCAGTTTCTTTGTGTGGCTAGTAATTTTGGATTGTATATTGGATTACATGTTGTAGTCTAGATTCTATTGTATTTCTCCAAAGTGTTTTCACTTTTTTTTAAAATAGGTAGTTCACTTGGCTGTACTCAAAAAACAAATTCTGTTTCCTTTTTGAGGTGGGCAGCAGCTTTAGTGAATCTGTTGAGTTGCTAAATCTTAGCTAGGCTGTTTGTAGTGTGCCCTACTCATTTAATTTATCAGTCAATAACAGATTTGGGCAGATTTTATATCCAGAATTTAAGGTGCTCCCTTTTTAACCTGGACTCCTGGGTTAAACAGTCGGCCGTTCAAACTCACCGGCTGCTCCTCGGAAATCTGTATAGAGTTGCTATGAGTCGGAATCGACTTGACGGCACTTAACAACAATCAACAACTTTTTAAGCTTAACCTTTCTAAGATTTTCTCTATTAAATCTTAGTTCCTAAGAAACTGTATTTTCTGGTTCTACAGCCAGTAAGATCATTGGTAGTCTGTACCATTGCTGTTAGCCATCTGGACCCTGTCCTCAGGCTGTCAACTATAAGTAAAATCCTAGTACTATTCCCTTCTTCCAAGTGTTCTTTACTTCAGATTTGCCTGCTTGTCATTCTCCAGTGCTTTTATCTAGCTGTGTTTTTTTATTTTGTGTAGAGTTCATAGTTATCTGTGATAGAAATAGTCTAATAGGAGCTACTCTGCTTGCTCTTACTGAATAAATATTTGGGCTAATTAAGCCAACTCTTTGAAGTACATTTTTTTCAGTATTACGTTTTCCAGTCCATTACTGTAGTATCTATTCCTCCATTTATTTAGGCTTTCTTTATCTTAGTTTTTAAAAAATTATAGATACCTTTTGTTCGATTTAGTTCTAAATTGTGTACTTTGATGCGCGTTCATTTTCTATTTTTTGCTAGTGGAAAGAAGAACTAATTTAAACAATATTGATCTTGTATATAGTGACCTGGAGTCCTGGTATGGCGCTGTAGGATAAACACTGGACTGCTAACCCAAGGTCAGCGGTTCAAACCGACCAGCTGCTCCTCGGAAACCCTAGAGAGGGTTGCTATGAGTCAGAACTGACTCAATAGCACTTAACAATGCCAATATAGTGACCTTGCTAAACTTACTCATTATTTCTAGTAATTACTCAGAAGACATTTTTGGAGTTTCTAGGCATACAGTTCTATCACCTGAGAACCATAAGTTTTATCTTTTTTCTTTCCAATCCTTATACTAGTTATTCCTTTTCATTAACCTTGCTGCTCAGTTTGAGGGTTCAAATAGCACGTGTCCTTGTCTTGGAGGGAAACTTTTCAATATTTCACCATTAATTATGTTTGTTGTAGGTTTATTTCACAAATACTCTTTATCAAATTAAGGAAGTTTCCTTCCTAGAAGAATTTTTGATCTAGTGTTTTTTAAATCAGGAATGAATGTAGAAATTTACCAAATGTTCATTGTTGTTGAGTCAATTCGACTCATAGTGATCCTGTGTAGGGTTTCCAAAGAGTGACTGGTGGGTTTGAACTGCCAACCTTGGTGGCTAGTGGTCCAGTGCTGATTCTACAGTGCCACACACCTCCCCCAAATCATATGATTTTTGTCCTTTGTTTTGTTAATGTAAGTTACACTAACAAACCATATGCATTTACCTTAAATAAATCCAATTTGGAAATGATGCATTATTCTATACATCACTAGATTTGGCTTGCAGATTTTTAGCTATTTTTAATCCTTACCCACTCTCTATCTTCCCTGCCCACTTATCAGTTTGAGACATTTATTCAGAACACTTTCAGATTCTGAGTTTCATCTAGCATTTGTATTGGGTTAAAAAGTAATATAATTACTTCCCACAAGAAACCTAGATGTTAATTTGCACACCACTTAGAATAAAGACTGTAAAACCTGCAGCGTTTTTTCCAGTTTTCTGTAGCAGATTTCATTGATATGTCCGCCAGCCTTGTGGGGTAGATTGTGGGGAAGTTGTAGGTACTGTTTGTACAGTTGTCTTGGTGTAACCTCCATGTCTGCCTGTTGGAAGATGTATGTTATTGTTTCATGTTCCCCACTTGAAAATAGTTAACTGAGTCAATTATTTGTGACGCAGATTCATCTGTTTGACATTGATGTTCCAGGAAAAATTACATTTCAAGAGTCGAAAACATTGAGTCCTGGTGATAGTTTCTCCACATTTGATACTCGTATGTACCAGATAAGTTTTCCTCTTTTAATAACCCCAGTAGAAAAGGATCAGGTATTCCTTTGTTTTTCCCTTAAGTTTCCCCCCAATATAACCTTACTGACTGATCCCAAGTGAGAACAGCAGAGTGGTCACCTATTTGGAAACATTAGGCTGGATGAAGAACAAGGGTTTGACATGATTTTGGTCTTCCATTTGGTTACAACCTGCTCTTAGTGTGTTTTGCTTCCCCAGTGTATCTATTAGGCCAGGATAAACACCTCTCACTTAGATAAGCATTCCATTAGAATGAGTTTCTCATCTCTGTTCTAATGACATAAATGAAGTTTTTATAAGGTTACATCCAAGTATGAGTGAGCATATGTATTTTCCCCATCCCTGGGTATGTGTTCATTGATGGCCTGCCAGTGTTTTGTGATCATTAAGTCATGGAGGCTTTCCCCAGCCACGCCATGCTGTAAGAGCTTTACTTCTTATGTATGTCTTTTTTGTTTGAAAAACAGCTTACTGCAGAGTGGGCCTGGGCATCTGCTACGACATCCGCTTTGCAGAGCTTGCACAAGTCTATGCACAGAAAGGTGAGGAGGCACCACAGTTGTGCTGTGTAGGAGTTTGGAGGTTTAATTTTCTGCTGGTGTCTGTGGGATGGAAAGAGCCCTTAGTCACAATGGCAGCTGGAAAGTGTCTTAATCTCACCCCAACCCCTCCACGTTGACACTGCTTCTCAGACTTTCACTGCCTACGGATGGTAAGGTTTTTAGGGGTTGGGATTTAACTCACATTATGCTAATGCAGGACTCTGGGTGTGACGCTATAGGATAAGCACTGAACTGCTAACCCCACGGTTGGTAGTTCAAATCCACCAGCCACTATACAGAGTCACTATGAGCCAGAACCGACTGGAGGGCACGTAACAACCACAGGGCTAAGGCAGGAGCCATGTCTGTTCTACCTTTTGAGCCCTTCTGCATTTGTGTTTGGAAATATTAACTTGGAGCCCAATAACAATAAAGAACTGGTTCTCATGCTCATGGATTTCACTACTTAGTAGCCCCAGGCCTTGAGTAGCAGTGGAAATGTGGTTTAGACAAGCAGAGGTGACCTGCTATTTTGGCACAACACAGGGCCAAGTCCTAAGATCTGTTTCCAACTCTTCCCATTAATTGGCATGTTGTTGTTGTGAAGTGCCATCAAGTTGGTTCCGACCCATAGTGACCTTGTATAGGGTTTCTGAGGAATGACTGGTGAACTTGAGCCATCTTCCTTGTGGTTCAAACCTACTTTATAGTCCAGTGCATTAACCCACAGCATCACACCAGGACTCCAGTTGGCATAATAACGGGTAGCTACTTAACCTCTGGAGTCCTGGTGTGTCGCTGTGGGTTAATGCGCCAGACTGCAAAGCCATTTGAATTGCAAGGTCCGTGGTTCAAGCTCACCAGCGGCTCCTTGGAAACCCTACACAGGGTCACTATGGGTCGGAACCAACTCGACAGCACTTAACAACTTAACCTCTAGAGCAATAGTTCTCAGTTTCCACATAGGAATGTTGTAAGAGCTAAGGAGAAAGAACTTACAAAGCTCCTTGTATGGTGCACAGCAAATATTAGCACCCCTGCTATGCTACCAACAGTACTTGCAATTCAACTCTCACTTTAAAAAGAGAGATGTGTGCTGATGATGTGACTCCCTGGCAGCAGAGTTGCAGGTGCATGGGATCCAGGGCTGAGGGTCTCTGTTGAGTCTCATCACTAAGCATTAAAACACCTGCTCCGCCTTCAATTTCTATTTGAGTTTGTTTCAACCTAGGTTAGGAACAAGTGAGGTTGATTATTTATTTGCATTCACTGTTCTTTGGCCTTTCTCTCTTCAAGGTTGTCAACTGTTAATATATCCTGGTGCTTTTAATTTAACCACTGGACCAGCACATTGGGAATTGCTTCAGCGAGGCCGGTAAGAAAGAAACCATATTTCCACAGGAATCTTGATGTATCCTCTTTGAGGAAAAATTTTCAGCCTTCCCAGTATGGAGTGTTGCCACTGACTCAGGATGCCCCTGTACCTTCTTTCTTCCCAGGAGTAGTCACTGCTCTCACTTCTGAGGTGATGATGGTCATTTTTGTTGGAGGGAAAAGTTGAAATGGTTGGCTGAATGCAGGGTGGAAGATGGATAAGGGAATGTGATTCCTTAAGTATTAATGGATGCAGTTTTGTCAAAAGCAAGAAAAGCTCAGGAGATTTAGGGATGACCTGTCAGGGGCCTATTGATTTCAGGTGAGGTGGGTTGGTGTCCCTGGGCTGCTAGCTGCAATTCTAGTTTGATTTGGTGGGACGGCCACAATTGGCATGGAGGTGCCATGTGGCCCTACAAGGTATATTGCCTCAGCATAGCCAACCTGTTCTCTCTGCCCACCTGATTTGCTTTAACCAGAAAAGTTCCATTCTTTTGGCTTATACTAGGGAGTCTCTTCAGTGGCACTATTAACATCTTGGGCTGGGTAATTCTTTGTTGTGGGGTGATGTTCTGTGTAATCATGTCCTATTTAGCAGCATTCCTGGCCGCTACCCACTAGATGCCAGTAATAACTCCCTAATTGTAAGAATCAGAGTCTTCAGACATTGCCAAATGTTCCTTGCTAGGCAGAATTGTCCCTGATTGATAATCAGAAGAGCATTGGAGGTGCTATAGAATAAGCCCTGGACTGCTAGACACAAGGTTGGTGGTTCAAACCTACTAGCAGTTCCATGGGAGGAAAATGAGGCTATCTGCTCCTGTAAAGATTTACAGTCTCAGAAACCCTGTTTTGTTGTTAAGTACTGTGGAGTCGATTCTGACTCATAGTGAGCCTGCACAAGGTTTCTGAGGCTGTAAATCTTTACGGGAGCAGAACGCCTCATCTTTCACCTGTGGAACCGCTGATAGTTTTGAACTGCTAACCTTGAGGTTGGCAGCCCGACTTGTAACCACTATACTACCAGAAACCCTATATAGGGTCTCTATGAGTTGAAATCTACTTGATGGCAACAGGGTTGGTTTTTTGGTTTGGCTGATTGAGAACCACTTAACTTATACATAAGATACTGTTTGAAGAGAGGTTCCATGGCTTTGACTGTTTCCCTTCACATCTGAACCAGCTTGTCCTGCCCTAGTTTTTTTTTTTTTAAAAAAAAGACGGACTCATATACTTGGGATTGAGGCATATGTAATGAGCATTTACCTTTTCTGTCTCTTGATTACAGGGCTGTTGATAATCAGGTATATGTGGCCACAGCATCTCCTGCCCGGGATGACAATGCCTCCTACGTTGCCTGGGGACACAGTACTGTTGTGAATCCCTGGTGAGTGGCTGTGTGAGGACAGGTTCTCTAGACATTTGGAAGAGATGGTATACGGACAGATGGGCTATCTGCTCCTGACCAGCCTACCTTTGCCTTCCTCCCTACTTCCATCTCTGCTTTTGGTCTGCCAGATTTCTACCTCTCTGTGACAGTGGTTCTTATTAACCCTTCCACTTGAAAATCATGTGAGAACCAATCAGCTTGCTCTCCTGATTGAGTGTGTGGCCTCCTCTCTCTTCTGAATTTCACAGTGGCTTTCACTGTCAGTCAGACTTAGATGGTGTAAGGGAAATAAGGCAGCAGTGATGGATGGGTGGTTTTAGTCAGAGGCTCCCAAACCTTTGGCGTTTGGTTAACATTGAAGAGTGTCTAGTCTTAGGGCAAGAGTGAGTTCCAGGGTAAGTGCTTCCAGCATGCAAAAATAGTGTGGTCTCCTTCAACTTCACAGGGGCAAAGAGAACCAGACTCCACATCAGTTCAAGGCTGATTCCTATGAGGCTGAGTTCAGGCATGCTTCCACCTCCCAAGTGTTTCTGCTCTCTTCTGACACCAGCTCTCCCTCCCATGGCACTCTATTTCTCAACTGGGTTCAATAATCGATTGCGGTGGCCACCAAGAACTCATGGCCAATCCACAATTAGGGGTTTATCAGGGAAGTGTGCAGGATACAACTCAAGATCAGAAACAACTCAGGATGCAGCAGTTCTTTGGTCAGCAGCGCATCTTAGTCATGCTGCAGACATGCCTCTCTCAACCTGGCCTCTTTGTCACGTGGCCCCTTGGCCCCTGCTAGGACAAGTGGTACAAACTCCTTTAGCCCTGTGGATAAATGTCCACATGAGCTATTCTGCAAGCCAGGCTATTGCCGAAAGGCACTCAGCCTGACTCATTCCATGGGCCAGGAAACCCGCTCCTTTATCTCGCCATGCCGCTGCCACTGCTTCTGCCGCTTCCTCTGCCACCACCAGCTTTCTCTGTGCAAGGATCTTACGCTCTTCTTTCTTCGTAATGTTGGGGTCCTTTGTTCCTGCTTCTGAGATGGCTCTTTTTAAGCATAGCAGGACGGCAAAACTAACCAATTCCCAAGTTAGAGTCCCGTATACAATCATTTGGTAGAAGCTCCATGGTCTCATGGCTAGAAGAGACATGTTAAGTAAATTAAATTTGCTGTACCACACAGAGGAGATTCAATTTAGGGAAACTGTGAAAGGGTAAAACATTTCATTACTCAGTGAAACCAGCACTTAGGTCTACTCAGATTCACGTGTAATTCTGTACATATAGTCTGTATTTGTACAGTTGCCACAGGAAAATTCCTGGCTGCTGCAAACAATTAATACATTTGGCTGCTAGCCAAAAGACTGGAAGTTTGAGTTCACCCAGAGGTGCCTTGTAAAAAAAAGCCTGGCCGTCTGCTTCTGAAAATACAGCATTGAAAATCTAAAGAACACAATTCTATTCCGACAACTAACGGTATCGCCACAAGTTGGGAAACAACTCTACAGCAACTGGTACATTTTAGCTTCTCAGACATCTGTGTGAACACACACAAATTGATACATATTCTTTAAATCTCAGGATAAATGTATCAGTAACGTGATTAAATATCTCTAAAGGTTCTCCCATCTGACTTTAATGAATGTGTGTGTGTTTGTATGTGTGTGTGTGAGATAGGAGAAGGCCTTGGAAGACAGAACTAGTGAGGTGTCTTTCAGTGATTCCCCATGCACATTGGGTCTCGGGTATGAGATGAGTGGAAGGATTAAGCTGGTTTGAAATTTTTCATAAACTTGATCCAGTATCTCTGTACAGAGCTAGTGGCACTTGGGAGAGATGGTATATGGATGGGTGGGCTATAGCCTCTTGGGTTGGATTGTCCTGCTCATTTTCCTGATGAATTCTGCTAGTGACCAAACTGTCTGCTTGTATAAGACTTACTTTAATTTATTTTAGGACCTTGGTTTATACTGATGGAATGGGTACTTGGGATCAGTGATACATAAGTCTATGAATGCCAGGAAGGAAATAGAAAATAAAAGGATTATATTAAATGACACTAATGGTAGTGTTTGTAACTAATTTTTGTCACTGACTAGTAAACTGAACTAGTTATTATGTCAGATGGTTTTTATGTCAGGCTACTCTGTGTGTTTTGTGCTTTGCAGAAATTTCATTTCACCATGTGTATATTTGAATCCCTGCTCTGGACCCAAAGACTAAGCTCTGGGTAGTTTTGTAAATTCGCCTTTTCCTGAATCTATGAAGCAGTGTTTCTTAATGTGAGGTTCTTGCCAGGCTCTTTTTAGGTCCCCCAGATTGAAATCTTCCCCTCAAATCTGAAACTGAAACCAATTGACTTAAGAATTCAGGGAGTGCAGGCACAAAGCTTGAGACCCAAACAGATCAGAATCCTCCAGGGTAGGATTGCAGCTTAGAGTAAGGAAGGAGGTCCAGACTGCCCTTATGAAAGGGATTTCCATGAAATGCACTTAAGTGGGGGCAGGATGGTGCTTCCTGCTGGTTATAGGTAGCTCTGTTCTCTGATCCTTACTGTCATACGATATGTCTCTTAGCAGTTTGCCATTTACAAAATGAACTCTATAATTTTCTCACTCAATTTTACAGAACTCTTCTTTCCACTGTATAAATTAGGAAATGAAGTCTCCAAACGACTTACAACAAGGTCACCCAGCTAGTTAAGTGGTAGAACAGGCATTTACACCTCTGTCTTACAGTTTTAAGTCTCAGAGTCGTTCCCTTTCACCCTGTAAGATAGGGAGGAAAACTAGAGAGCTTGAATATCAGCAAATACTAGTAAGTCCATTCATTCTTCTTTGAATCTTTTTCAGGGGGGAGGTCCTAGCCAAAGCTGGCACTGAAGAAACGATCGTGTATTCAGACATTGGTAAGATGTGTCCTAGCACAGGTTAGGCCTTTGATTGATGTCTCCATTCAGTTGAGGCCAGTGCCCATGACTGCAAAGTGCCTGTCATTTGGTGGGGCTCCTTCATGCCCTCCGTATTCATCCTCCAGGATGTTCTGGAACCTAGTCCTCTGGCCAAGCTCCAGGGCAATAGTTCAACTTGAGTTTTCTTGGTTTGGATTGAAATGACTCTAGAGCTAGTGACTCTAGGCTATCTATGCTTCTGGACAAGGCCTGCATTACTGAATTACTTGCTCAGACTCTGGTTGTATTTATACTCAGGAAGAAATCTGCTTACTTTATGTGGAGTTACATCTTACTAATTTTGTGTTTTCCTGGTTTTTCAGATCTGAAGAAGCTGGTTGAAATACGCCAGCAAATCCCCATTTTTAGCCAGAAGCGATCTGACCTCTATGCAGTAGAGACAAAAAAGCTCTAAAGATTAGTTTTCAACATGTCACGGAACAAGATAAGATTTTGCAGCATAATCAACTCCCTGATGAATTTTTTAATGGAGATACCCCAGCCCCAGCCCCAATCCCTTCTTTTTAATTTCCACCTTTTTCCTCCCTGAAAGATTTTTAGATTATGAGTATCAAGCCCTAAACCACTGCCATTAAGTCAATTCCAATTCATAGTGACCCTATAGGATGGAGTAGAACTGCTCCAGAGAGTTTCCTAGTTGTGGAAACTCCCTGGATGGGCTTCCACATCTTTCTCCTATATGTTAACAGCCGTATGCTTTCACAGTGTGTCACCAGTGTTCCTGTGATAGCGTATCAGCACATAGTTAAAATGATGGTCACTTACCAAGATTTGTGCTGTTGTTGAAGAGCCAAAGGGGAGGGCACGTGCCTCTAAAGTTTCCATACATAAATTGTCTCAAAGCACTTAGTAAGAGTATCATCTTGATATCCTGGTGATTGATTTACCTAATACAGATATCTTTGTGTCATGAATCTGTCACCCACTTTCTGGAGTTGGAACCTATCATTTTGGAAAGGTTGGTCTGATGTTGCTGTCTTCCAAGCAGTTCTACTGAGTTACCTGTGGGAACCAAGGTGTGAGGTCCTAGGTGTTGGCCAGAGGAAGTGGCAGCTCCCCCTACCTAGCAAGTCCTTTGGACTCTTCAAATTGAAGAATGAGGTAATGGTTAAACCCCAGAGCCTCCTAGTCTTCATGGGGAAACTGTGTCAAGAACGAATGTTGGGAGAGCTGGTTAAGGGGGTGGGAGAGTGAACCTGTGGAGAATGGCAATGGTAGCATTTGGGGAAATCACTAAATATGAATCCCTGCAAAAGATGTTCTGGATAGGGAGGATAAATGTCTGGCAGTCCTATCTTTTTCTTTCTGCTTTCTTCCCTAGTAATATTTTCTATCTGCATAGATTAAGGCAACTTTTTAGTCTTTTTGTCAATCCTCTGTGTCAGCCATTCTTAAACTGTTAGTCTCTGGATCCTTTGGTGCTGTTAAAAATTAAAGACTCCCTCATCAAAGAAAAACATAGTGACAAACTTAAAAATCAAGAATTCCAATGAGCTTTTGTTTATGTAGATTAAAGCTAGCGGTGGACTGGTAAATGTCTCATAGCCAGCTGCTCAAGAAAATACTGTGATTTGTGATAGTGTTTGCCTATTTACATAGTATGAATACCTCAAGTATGGCCAACTTCACGTTACCAACATGACATCTCTAAGTGCAGAGATAGGAGCAAATGCACACAGTTCTCTCTTGTGAGGTGGTACAATCCTGCTCTACTGAGACACCACTAGCTATGTATATAAATATTTGCCATATTGGGAAATAAATAAAAGAATAGATGAGCACATATTCCACCAGCTTTAAGAGTGCTGACATCATGTGTTGTTCAATTTCCAGAGAATAGCACTGTATCAATCACTGTATACCCAGAAGAGAAGGAAGGAAAAATGGCAAAAGCTTTTTTTTTTTTTGAGTGAGTTTGACCTATGTATTCACCCATGAAACCAGGACAGTCAATGAACACATCCACTAACCCAAAAAGTTTCCTTGTGTGTTTTTATAATCCCTCTGACCTCATCTCTCATACCCAGACTTCCACTGCTCTGCTTTGTCATCATAGATTTGTTAACCTTTTCTAGAATTATGTGTAAGTGGAATCATAACAGCATACACTCTGCTTTGTCTTCTTTCAGCATAATTATTTAGAAATTCATTTATGTTGTGTAAATCAGTGATATCTGCCTTTTTGATTCATAATGTGGATATGTCAAATTATGTTTACCAGTTCACGTTTGGGTTGTTTCCACCTTTTGGCGATTACAAATAAAACTACTAGAAACAATTGTGTACAAGTCTTTCATTTCTCTTTAGTAAATATCTAGGTGAAATTGATGGGGTCATATGGTATGGGTGTTTTTGACTTCCAGCTGTTTCCCAAAGCTGTTAAGACTTAAAAAAAAAAAAAAAAGACTGCCAGCGGTCTGTCAAAAGTCCTAATTGTGCTCACCAGTATTTGGTATAGTCTTTTTAATTTTAGCCATTTTTAATGGGAATATAATATTACTTCATTGTGGTTTTTTAGTTTGCACTTCCCTAATGACACAACTCAAAAGCATCAATTCTTCTATGGTCTTCCCTTTTTTACTGTTCAGCTTTTGCATGCATCTGGAGTTATTGACAATACCATGGCTTGGATCAGGCGCTTTTGAGTTATGGTGTTGGAGGAGAATATTGAAAGTGCCATGGGCTGCCAAAAGAACCAACAGATATTGGAAGAAGTGCAGCCAGAGTGCTCCTTGGAGGCCAGGATGGCCAAACTTCATCTCTCATACTTCAGACATATTGTCAGAAGGAACCAGTCACTGGAGAAGGATATCATTTTTGGTGAGGTGGAGGGTCAGAGAAAAAGAGGAAGACCCCCAGCGAGGTGGATTGGCAAAGTGGAAGTATCAATGGCAACAATAGTGAGGTTGGCCCAGGATCAGTGTTTTATTCTGCTGTGTATAAGGTCACTATGAGTCAGTACCAACTCAATGACACCTAACAACAACAATGACTAGTTAGTTAGAAAGATCTGTGTTCAAGTTCCAACTCTACTGAAAGTTATTATGTGCTGTTGAGTCGGTTCCGACCCATAGCGATCCTGTTTAGGGTTTCCAACAGCTTTGCAGTCTGGTGCATTAACCCACAGTACCTCCTGGAGTCTCCTGTGGCGCTGTGGTTTAATGCGCCAGACTGTAGAGCTGTTTGAACTGCAAGGTCGGCAGTTCAAGCTCACCAGCTGCTCCTTGGAAACCCTACACAGGGTCCCTATGGGTAGGAGTCAGCTTGACGGCACTTAACAATAGCAACAACGACTAGTTAACAATGACAAGTGATGTTGACCGTCTTATGTGCATCTTTGGTGAATTGTCTGTTCATATCTTTTGTCCATATTTTTATTGGGTTGTTTATCCTCTTATCGGTAAGAGTTCTTTATGTGTTTTTGTCAGTCTTATATTTTGCAAGTATTTTCTCCTAGCCTGCGAAAAAGTGCCTTAAATGTGCTTATTGTTTGAAGAGCAAAAGTTTGTCATTTTGACAAAACGATACATTTTTTTTCTTTTCAATTTTGCACTTGAAGAGCCCTACTAGCGTAGTGGAATACGAGTTGGGCTGCTAATCACAAGGTCAGCAGTTCGAATCCACCAGCCATTTCACAGGAGAAAGATGAGACTTTCTGTTCTGTAAAGATATACAGCCTCGGAAATCCTATACAGGTTCGCTATGAACTGACTTGGTGGCGCACAGCCACCACCAAGTTATATTTATGTACATGTAGTCCCCTGCTTAACAACATATTCAAGATACAGTTTACCTCACAACCATCTGTTGTAAATGTTTAGCTTTTTTTGGTATATTTTATCATTAGCAATATGTACTACAGATAATGTTTTGGGTTTTTTTGCTGATGCTATCATTACCGTTACTCTCATATGTCCACTTGCAGATGTTTAAAGTTCAGATTTATAAAGATACTGATAATAAAAGGTAATAATAATGAAACAACAACAAAAAGCATTTGACTTACATCAGAACAAACTGACAGAGTTGTCAGAGTGGAGCCCTGTCATTAGCTGAGGACTCCCTATAATTATTTCTAAACCCAAGATTTATTAAACTTCAAGTGTATGTTTATAAACATAGAATGCATCAGACTTTATTCTTTGCTTTTCTGGAGTTTTATAGTTTTAGTTTTTACATTTATGTCTATGATCCTTTTTTTTTTTTGCATTTGGCTATCCAATTGTTCAGCACCATTTGCTAGAAAAAATCACACTGTCTCTGTTGAAGAGGTCCCTAGGTTGTGCTCAACTGCTAACCTAAACATTGACAGCTTGGCCCCTCCCAGGGACGTCATGGAAGAAAGGCCTGGTGGCGTGCTTTAGTAAAGACTGTAGCCAAGAAAACCATGTGGAGTCTACAGCATGGAACTGCCCTGGTGCTTTTCTAAGAAATAAGTTAGCCATCCCAACTTAAAAGAGAGGCTCTATTTCACACCTTTGTAGCAAAAGTCATTTCTGATGTAAGTCAAAGCCTCTTTTTTTTTAAATTTTCATTATTGCCCTTTATTATCAGTATCTTTACAAATCTGATCATTGTTTGTCTTTGGAGATTGGAAACATTGCATATGAGTATAAGTGAAAATTTGTTACTAAGGTTCCAGTCCATACAGCATAGATTTATTCCAAACAAAATCTGTTTAAACATGTCTCTTCTATCAGTAGATGGCTACAGACAAGTTTTGTCTGTAACAGACTTATCTTGGTTTTGTCAGGGTGCCTTCAAAAAAAGTTGTAGTCGAAACAGTGACTTGCAAGGGAATCTACTCCACCAGTTAAATTCATGGCAGAGAGAGGTCAGCTCAGAAGGTTATGGTAACTTTTTTTGGTATTCAAAAATATAATCTTGATTGAGTTTGTTTTTGAAGGATGCAGGGCAGTCACTGGGACTGTTCTGATATAGTGTCAGTAGAAGAATGCCAAGTTGTTTAGGTAAGAAAGGATTCGATGGAAACAACTACCTTCAGAAGTGTTAAGAAACAATAACTTCATATTTTGAGATTTTTATTTAAAGGTTTCTATGATTTTGTAGAATACTTTTTGATTTATATTGTGCAAACTTGCATAAAATACATAAAAAAGCTTTACTCTGATGAAGACAAGTTGGATGATATGGACATTTTGACAGTTGTGTCATTAACATCACCTGTGGAAGGCTCTGGATTATCTGTGGGGATGGGGTTGGCATTTCTAGGCAATAATGAGAGTTGTTGTATGGCTGTTTTATTCGTCAGATATTCCTGAACAACATCTCACTGCTTTCTGAATCTGCTTATTGACTTTGGCAAAGTTAGTGTCCATGTTTTTAAGCAACTGAAGCCCCTAATTTAGTTTAGAAAAACTTTAGCTACTCCTTTGTAAGAATTTTTGACTTTTTTCCAATCTCTTATATCTTTCAGCATGTCTTTCCTCTGTGAGATGGCTGTGTTTTATGC